CCCGCGCGAGGAAACTGGTACGAGCCACCTTAAATCATAGTTAACTGTTGTTTCGATGAAATCCAATAAGCTGTACACACACGCAGACACATGCCCGCGAGTCTACTTATGACTGTATTTGCACGATCTTACACGAACATACGATCAAGTTGACCATTTGCTTTGTCTGGCTGGCGTGTAAAACAAGGTTGTCTCCTGTAAGATTATCTGGAGTTTGCTTATTTAATTTATTTCAGCAGTTTTAATTTGCATGTTCTTATGTTTCTTATTATCACTTCTCGTTTTACAGTACCTCCTTCAATAACTCAGGTAACACCACATCTGAATGTAACTGAAGGTAACAATGTGACTCTGTCATGTATTGTATCTGGAATTCCTTTACCAGTGGTATCTTGGGTGAGTCCCAATGGACAGCATCTTAGTGGATGTATGTTGGAGGTAACCAACATTAACAGGAGTCAAGCTGGGGCATACAAATGTGAGGCCCGTAACGAATGTGGCAATGCAACAAAGACAAAGAACATTGATGTGAATTGTAAGTGTAACAGCTTTTTCTTCGCAAACAGTTTATGTCAATCTGTGTGGTTATTACATCAATACCCTGACGATCACTATCATTACATGTATGATGTATATGTACATATTTTGAATGAATGAGAATGAAAGTACCGGTAATTTTTAATGCAGTAGTTCCTAAAACTCACAATACAGTCCAACCTCTGATACAGACATCAAAGGGTTAGAGCGAAGTAGTTTCGTCATCTTTTCTGACTATTGCGGCTGGTTGACGCACGCCCTTCGCCTGGGTTCCCATATCGGACATCTAAGTTTTTGTTCATGCGCGGTGGCGGCGGCATCTTTGAATGGTGCCACGAGGTCACCAATTTAAAATCTCTCCCGATATCGTTTAGTTTTCCGCGAGTTTTGGTATTAACGTTACGTTAAACACTATAGCATTTAGTGCGAGTTTTCTCGAAGCCTTCGTGAAGGATTTTGGATTAAAGGTTTTGATTTTACATGGGTAGTCAGCGTTCGTGGTCACACTGACATTTATCATATCAATTACAATTTTAATCTACTACTTGATCACATTATAGATCAATTTTTATTTCATTGTTTGAATGACTTGTGTACCTTGAATTGATCGTTGCATTCTTAAACACTCAGTACCTAGTATCATACCGTGCTCATTGTTATACTCCCTTCTTGACATTACAGTTCAAATTCGTATTCATAAACTTTGATTATTTGACTGCAGTGAATTTTCTTCCGTCCTCTGCAGTATCTAAAAGTTTGTCTGGTTTCAATGTAGATAAACCAGGGAATGTGCGGTTGGCAACGTCTACCACGGATAACAAGGCATGCAAGGATGACATCATTAGCTTTAACTGCTCAGCTGATGCTAATCCATCGGTGACGTCATACCAGCTGTTTGAGAATGACACTGCTATCTTAGACGCAAGCCCTTTAGGGTTGTGGTATAACCGCGTGCTAACCGGTAGACTGTTTATGTACAAATGTGTGGCCAACAACTCTTTAGGATCAGACGTCAGTTCATCTGTTCATGTTGCAGTTAATGGTAAGTTTAATGTGTGGTATACTGAAGCTGCGAAGCCTTTTTTTTTGTCTATACACTTTTTACGTTTGTGAATAAGCAGCGCCAAATATTAGAATAAATCTTTTTTTATATCTTTGCATTCTTGTTACTTTTAAAAAAGTCGAGTTAGGATTGCGGGTATTTAAGATGTGGATTGGTAGTGGAAATCGTTTGAAGATTACCTTTATTCCATCCAAATGAACTTGCAAGAAAAATGGCGAGACTGCAATATAAAAACATTGCCTTTCAGTAATACATGTTTCAATATCTTTTAGTTCCATCACGACAACCAGAGTCTTTGAATTAAAACTGACCATTTAAAAAATTAATTTACGCAATTAAATTATTTCAAGTTGTGTAAATTTGTTCGTAAGGCCAAAGCCGGCTTAAATAAGCAAGGCTTAAGCTACAGTTCTGCCATGATTTTTGTCATAGTGGGACCCCAGTAACAGTGATTCATCATCACCAGGTCGAGTTTGCTTGGCTTCCCGTGACGCGTATTTTTCTTCCATTCTTCTCTGTCATTCAAAGCCTTTGGGAGTTCTTTTACCATGCACCCTGTATCATCCATCCCTTGATCGATGTATGCTGGTTTATCTTCCCTGCGCCAGCAATGTCCAGCAAACCTTAGAGTTCGTTGGCTATTGACTTGCGGATCTTTTCGTATATGTACATATTTAAAGGGATAAACGTTTTTTTTTTTCTAAATACCTGTTTCATAATTTAACGTATATAACAATTCATCGGCTATGCCTTCTGAGTGTGATTTGTGTTGTATCTTGACTACAGTGCCTTCATATATTGAAACAATACACGATCAGAATGTAACTGAGGGTGATAATGTGACTTTGACATGTAATGCATCTGGAATACCTCCACCAATGGTATCTTGGATTAAGCCTGATCGTCAGAGCGTTGCTGGAAATATGTTGGAACTGGTGAATACTAACAGAAATGAAGCCGGCGAATACAGATGTGAAGCCAGCAATGAATGTGGCAATGCAACAAAGATGGCAATCATTGATGTTTACTGTAAGTAATTGTCTCCTATTCAATTTGTATTTAGTGGGAGGTCTGTATGGGAGAGTCTTGCCCGAGGTCGCCTGTACAGACTGAACGTAGTGAGGTCTGTACCAGCGACCGAGGTCAAGATTCTCCCATGCAGACCGACCTAGCTCGGTTAATAAGATGTTTATTATATGGCTGTGTCTTATATGCCAATTTTTTATATTCTTTGTACCTTTTTTTTCTAGACCGGTCTAGCTGCCGGTCTAGATGGGAAAATCTAGAGTGCTTTCAACATTGATTTCAGCCAATCAAATTCGTGTATTCGCCAGTTCCCTGTCCTTGTGAGACAGCCATATAATAAATACTTTTACATTTCAATGCCAGTATTTAGGTTGATACATTATTAGTCACCAAGGGCATTAAGGTAAAATGTAAAGAAATGTGGAATATTTACGTCGCTACGCTTCAAGTAGTTTGCTTGTTTCATTTTGAATTCTCATTGGCTAATGGAAAACTCAACTTTTTCTCTTAACGGTTATTGGAAATACTTTGCTTTTGGTCTTTCGACACCCAGATGAAAAATGCTCTGAAGTGCATTTATAGTATTTAAATAGTTTTATTACTAGGGAAGCAGGTCCTTTGTTGACTTCCATATATTTTGTGGAAGTTCTGATACACATTTATATCTCAGTTATAAGTTGGTACTTTTGTGTGCTAAAACAGTGTAGATCAGCTTTGTCAGTACTTACCCAGAATACAATTTTAAATTTCAAAACAGATCTGGCGAATAAACACTAACTGTTACGGTACCAAATACAAGTAAGAGCTAGTTCAAAGAGAAAATTGGGATCGAAGCTTCAAAAAGTTTTAAGAAATAGGCGTATGACTTCTTAAACATGTATGTTGTGCACATTTTATGACACCCAGAGCACTGCTAACTCTGAATTTTCGTAATATCTCTTCTAGTCGCTGCTTCAGTAGTGGCCATGGGTAATCGCACTGCCCAAAAGGGTAGAACAATTCAACTTTATTGTAATGTGACTGGAACGCTACCACATACTATCTTATGGACCCATGTAGAATCAGGCCGCACGTGGGACAAGAAAACATGGATTATTGAAGGTATCCAAGTAGGGAGACTTGGAGAATACAGGTGTAATGCCAGCAACAAATATGGAGGAGATGTCAAAAGTACCTTTATCTTTCATGAAGGTGAGTGAGTCAAGTTGATGCGGGAAATGCTTTTCTTACAGAAAGTAGAGACATTGTTTGCTGATATTTCTGAGTTACTAATAATTGCATTATTGCTACGCTATTATCTGGTGTCTAAACTGGGCCAAACCAGGCGTAGGAAATTCTGTCCCGTAAGCTCAACACATCTGCCATCTGATCACTACTCTAGTCAAGTTATGAATTTCTCCAACATGATTTTGATTAAAATCATGTCGGACAAATTCAAAGAGCATTACAAAACTAGGTCAAAATATCGAAATCAAATTACAACTCTAAATTGCTTTTGAACGGAAGGATCTCTTTATTTTTACTTTGTTAGGTCTTTTTTTCAATGAATAAGTTTAAAGCATATGCACTTCCTCCATGATTTATGCTGTTGCGTATAGCTTAGCTAATTTAAACAAAAATGTGAATCTTTCGTGATTTTACAGGTGGTCTTTGTGAGAAACCATGCACTGCAGGGCAATCTTGTCGAGAGTTTGGAACATACATCTGTGTCTGTCCACTAGGAAAGACAGGAACAAACTTCTCTCTTTATGTGATGTTCATACTTCTCTTGCTCCTCACAGAGGAAACGAAGAACAATTTCACGGTGGGACTTACAATAAAAAGAGAGTTCAGATCAGTATACGAGAAATTAGAAAATCCAGAGACAAAAATGCTTGTACAGGAGATTACCACAAATGTGAGTGCTTCGGTAGTATAACAGTTAAAAGCGCAGAAATTAAGGGATAGTTTTTTAGATTTTGAGTGTTTGACTTGTGTACTTAATTCACTCTCTAATGTTTTATTTCAGACGATGGAAGAATTCCTAGGCACTGGTCTCGCTAGTGTCAACGTGCTCAAACTGAGGTAAAAAGTTTTCCAACTCTTGTGTACGTTAACCCATTAATGGCCGCAGCTTTTGTGGAAAACTGTGTTTTGAAGGAT